ATAGAAAATAATTAGGAAAAAGCAGTATTTTTAATCGGATGGCTTAGGAAAGCAGACATATATGTCTGATTACACCATCCTAAATTGCCATCCCTAAATAAAAGATGATGAGATAATACTGACCTAATAAGAAGCCTGGCTGGCTGGTATACACTTAAATATAAGAGATGAGATGATGATGATCATTACCAATTTCAGTAGTTGGCTTTTGGGGGGGAATATGACATAATCCTGATAGTTCTTAAATACATTTTGTTTTATGGGCTGATAATGCATATCCTCTGGGCTTCAGACCAATACAAATAGGATCTGTCCTAAAATGCTGCCAAAAATGCTATTTTGTAATTTACAGCCTGTTGCAAAGGATGTTGGGGAGCTATATAACAGTTCAAAGATACAAATGGGAGGCTGGCTAGATCCCATAGTTTCAAGGGTATGCTGAGTATAAGTTAATTGTAAGCTGTTTAAGAGGTACATAATGGGCAAATAATATGGATGGAATCTTACCTCAGAAAAATCATTGAGTTGATGGCAAGAAGTTTTACTGGGAAAGAGGATAGCTCAGAAGGATTGGAAAATGTAAAGCACTTTTGACATTTGATAATTGTTCAAAGACAAGTATAAATTGAAGCCTTGGTCCTTTCCTGAACACTAATTTCTCACCAGTGAATAGTAATACTATTACTACTGTTGCTGCTGCTTCGGCTAGTTATCTTGTTCCTCCTCTTAATAGAAATAATAATCCCATATTTCCATCTGGAGGATCAAAGCACCTTTCAATACAAAAATGAAAACCATGCAAAACAAATAAACATCATCAAAATGCATGCATAAATCTAAAAGTAATAGTGATTAAAGAACTGTGTTAATTTCCCTTCTAATACTAAATGAGAAACCAATGATTGTAAGTATGAGGGTTGACAGAAAATAGGAAAAGAAGCAAGAAACCTGCCAAGCATTCTACATTAGCCAGTTGGCCAATAGAAAAATAGTTGACTGTGTGGATTGCATACTTTATAGTCAGAAAGCATATGTAGTCATGGCATACACATATACATGATATAGGATGGCAATAGGCATAACTGGGCTGTAAAAAAAATCCAGGTGACCACTAAATGACATTAAAATGTTTTCTGTATCTCTTTGCTGCCATCTAGTGGTCATCTGAATTTTACAGCCGTATGCTTGTTATGGCAATAACCCTTGTGCCAGGGGTTCTGAAGCCCTTTAGACTGCAAACTCATGTTTTCCTGCTGTTTTTGTTACTAACAGTGGCTAAGACAAAAATCAGTTTTGCCATTTGAAAGGCTTCTTTGCTGCTTTGCAATTTATCTGTGTCAAAGGAGGTCTGGCAAAATGATCCCCAAATTTCATTGGAGAAGTATGTTTCATGTCTAACTTAACCATTCAAGTTGCAAAACAGATTTAGGCTCATTGAAAAGCTGCAAATGCAGTCTGCATTCAAAAGTATTCAAAAGCTGTGGTTTGGCTCTAGGTTATGTTTTCTGAGCATGGAAGGATTCCTTTTGTCTGAATGCAGAAAACAGGAAATACACTGGACTGTTTCTGCTAACCAACTTCAATGAGTGATTTGCATCAACCTGGTGAAATAATTTCCTAACACCATCCACTTTTGTGAATGAGATACACATACAAAAGGACAAAGCTTGCACTGTGGCAATGCAATGCTGCTTTTATCATTTTTTCCTCTTGCACCCCCTTCCCCTGGAAGACATCTCCATGTTAGAAATAATGTGGGAAATTATTGCCTTTGTACTGAGTAGAGAATTTCCCAAATGTTAAGGTATGGCTCTGAATCACAATTTATCAAAATTAGCAAGTCTGGTGTGTTTTAGATCCATCTCTTATTTTTAAAACAATACTTTTGCCTTTTAATTTATTTATTAAACATTATTTTGGTACCCATGTATAGAGGAAGCAATAAAGTGTATGAATTGTTCTCATTTAATGACTAACCATTTTTAAAGGTTGGCTTCATAACCTGTGTGAATTTCTGTAATTTTCTTTATCTTCTGTTCACTCCAATTCTTAGCTTCTCACTTGTTTAAAAGTAATTGCAGCAAGAAAAATGAATGTCACAGTATTACTGATATGCTCAGAGGAACTCAGTGGGACTAATCACATGAATAGCATTAGTGCCTAAAGGAATAACAGTACCCAAACAAGCTTGTCTATGAACTGGGTGGTATATTTCCACTAATAATGTTGCACTCTCATCTGTCAGTGTTTAGATAAATATTTTATTTTACCGTAGACTTTCATTAAACTTATGAGCTGATGCCTGTTATGTGAGGTAGAGATGCAGAAGACTGTACTTAAGGATTTGTTCTCTTGACTCCTCTGGAACGGGACTTAAATAAATAATCAAGTGGATATCAAAATAGAAATACATGGGAGACAGTGGGAGGAAACGTAATAAAACTGAAGAGAGAATCACACAATGTTTCTCTTTTCTGTTCTTGGTCTTCCTTCTGTAATACATCAGAGATAATATGTTGGTGCATAAGTGCACAAATGTGCCTACCCTCCCTGTCCTATTGTTTCTTTTTATTTTTCTTATATGTATCCATTTCATGTATTCATAACTATGTTTATACTTATACCTGTTATCTCATAATCACTTGACGAATAAACAAAATAAAATAAAATAGAATAGAATTATTCAGAAGTCATACTGGGAGAGCAACATAGCTACTTCCTCTTTTTGCCAGATTATCTACATCTTAATGAACTCTGATGATTTAGAGTATATCAATCTGTTACGTCATCTAAGCCAGGGGTGTCAAACTCAAGGCCCACGGGTGCTTAGATCTGGCCTGCGGGTTGCCCTGGAAACAATGAAGGACCGGCCTGTGGTGCTTCTGCCAGTGAAAACAGAGCTTGGGAGGGCCACAGGCAGCCGTGCCAAGCTCTGTTTTCACTGCCAGAGGGTTGCAGGAGATCGTCACAGCTAAAAATGGAGTTTATAAGGGCAACACCATTTTTGCTGGCAGAGTGCTTGGGCCACCACAGGCTCCCCCAACACACATGATGTTAAGCTGGCCACACCCACCCTGGCCATGCCCACCCTGACCCCCCAAGGTCAAACCCAACCCTGATGAGGCCCTCAATGAAATCGAGTTATATCTTATATATAGTGACCAATTTGGTTCTCCAAAGGTGAGGAAGAAATATATCTCAGTAAGTCAATTGTCAGCTGCATTTGAAGAGCGATCTGGAAATGTAGCCTCTCTCCCATTTATAGTCCACAACTTGGTTTGAAGATATCCAGTAATCTAATCAAAAGCAAAATGCCAATGGCCCTAGTGTTTTTAGCAGCTTGCCAATTTTTTATTCAAGTTAGGAAAGTTGGCTCCATAGAATGCTAGCTTTTTTATATAAAAAAAATCTGAATTTAGGATTTTACTTTGCTTTACAGGTCTATGAAGGTTGTAAATGCAAGGATTTGTCCTAAAGTTCCTTTATACCACCGTATAACTGCAAACAGTCACTAAACAAGGCAGTTCTTAAATGAGGGCTACCTGTAAAACTACCTGTAGTAAGAATATTTTTATGAAATTAACAAAATTAAGAACATTTAGAAATATACAAGATGAAGAAAATTAATCAAAATTCATTAATAAGTATTTATAAATACTGTGTATATATCTGGCTTAGCCAAAACTAGTAGATAACTAATTAGCAGCTTACAAATATGGTTTTGCATTTATGGAAAGTATTCTCTTTAGAGAAGACCTCTTATTACTGCACTCTTTTGTAAATATCTTCTGGAGGGTCCCCAGTATTTATGACAATCATTTTCTTTTCATTGTTATGTTTTCTTTTCAAATTGCTTTATTTTACACTATAGATTTGAAATAACTTTGCCTAAAATGATCAAAAAGTTATATATGTCACACGAGGAAAAAATAATATTACTATAGGAAGCAATAAGAGTGAATATGCTGTGGGGTAATCCTTACTTTGGTGGGGGGGGGATAGATTGTTCAGATGTCTCTTTTTTGATGTACGAAGACTGGGAAAGAATAGTGTAATGATTTTGTCATTGCACCAAAAGCTTAAAACTCTGCTGGGAGAAGTTTCATATTTATAAAAATCTGCTCAAGAGTCAATTCAAGAGCCAATGCATTACATAGATATTTATATTATATAATATATAATATGTATTTCCTAGTGAAATGGCAGAGCAATCTCAAGTGGTCCAAATTTGAATGTTCATGTGGGGTAGACATATATCTGACCAAACTGTCTTTCAGATTGTTACATCTTCCAAATAGCCTTGCATGTCTCTACCTCCACATGATGCACCTGGCAATCACATTCAGGACTCACAAGAGAGCAAAGTGGTCCTTCTTGGCATTCCAATAATCTAGTTTCCTTCCTTCCTTCCTTCCTTCCTTCCTTCCTTCCTTCCTTCCTTCCTTCCTTCCTTCCTTCCTTCCTTCCTTCCTTCCTTCCTTCCTTCCTTTCTTCCTTCCTTCCTTTCTTTTCCTATTCTATAAAACTTGGGCTTGTATGGTTGCTGCTGTTTGTGATTATAAGAAAATTCACATTCTCTGCTGAATTTTGGAAAAAAATCTTCCTGAAATCCCACAGATTTAAACTTATCATTGATGTATTTCTGAGATTATGCTTCATAGCCATAAGTTTATTCATAGTGCTCTATCCAAGATTTATTGTAATTTTTGATAAATTCAATTTGATTTTATAACTAAGTAAATGATCTGCACATTTTATTGATGACTTGATCAGTTTCCCTTGTTAGATTTTTGCTAAACAGTAAGAATTCAGGGGTCCCCGCTGCTCTCTGAACTTGGCTGTTTTCTTGTAGACATTTCATTACCTAAAGTACATAACAGCATCAATGCTGAATAAGAATTCTGTTTTAATGCATTTGTGGGTTTATGTATGTTATGTTGATATTGTTCTATCAGGAAACGCTTTATACTTTAACCTATATCTTTTTTAAAAAAAATTAGATATGTTACAATGGGAATCAGTACAATACTCCAAGTTTCCAATGCTGTGTGGACAAGTATCTTTCATTTCTTCTGAATGCATCATGTGCTTGTTGTGGACATCAGAGGTATACAGTGGAACCAGAGTATCAATGTTGGGGTAACTATTCTACACGGATATTCACAGGTAAGGAGCATTTCACAGATATTCAGTCATATAGTGGCAGCTTTTAATAAGAAATGCAGGCCTGACTTTAAGTATGGATTAATGGGCTTCCTATTCACTTTCAGAATGAGAAATGGAATTTCTCTAAGGAAGCAGTCTGTTCCACTATTATGGTGTTAAATCAGTTAACCAAAAATGCCACTACTTATCTACATTTGTTATCTAAATAATTTTACCATCAATGAATATGTGACAAGACCCAAGAATATGAGTGTTGGAATCCATACTGAGCCAAGTACTTTTGCTATGTAATCAATAGGTGACTTCATTCTAAATGGTAGACCTGACCTGCTAGTGGAATGAGACCAGTTGAAGAGCAAAGAACATGCAGTTATCCCATGCTAAAGAAAATGAGCTGGTCCAGTTTATCCAGTCCTAGAACTATAAAAGTATATAAGGAACCTACTAATCACACAGACATGCTTTTATAGGGAGGTTTTTTTTTATCAATTAAATGGAGATGACTGCCCTGGACTTCTTCCAAAATATTTTTCCCAGTCTAGTCTATAGCTCTTGCCTTACCTAGGCATCTCCTATCAATACCTGCCTAGTTTTTCAGGTCAATCAGGTTAACTAGGTACTGCCACCTATTTTGATACTTACAAATTGTAATATATTTTGATTCTTACAAATATATTACATTGCTTCAGAAAATGTATGAAAAATTGTTGCAGGAATTGGATATATCTAATTTAATGAAAAGAAGGACTAGGGATGACATGATAGCAGTGTGCCAATATCTAAGGGGCTGCCACAAAGAAGAGTGGATCAACACTCCAAAGCACCTGAAGGCAGGAAAAGAAGCAATGGATGGAAAATAATTAAGGAGAGAAGCAACCTAGAATTAAGGAGGTTTCCTGACAATTAGAGTAATTAATCAGTGGAACAACTTGCCTACAGAAGTTGTGAATGCACCAACACTGGAATGTTGTAAGATGGGATTTTTCTGAAATGGTATAGGGCTTCCTGCTTGAACAGTGGGTTGGACTAGAAGACCTCCAAGGTCCCTTCCAACTCTGTTATTCTGCTATTGTGTTATTTCTGATTAAAAAATGCATTGTGACTGTTCAGATAACAAGTCAGAAATCCTTGGGGGCCAAATGGTTTTTTATAGAGTGCATTCTGGGTGTTCAAACAAAAATAGATTCATGGGGGAATGGTTTGCCTAGACATAAAAGGGCTGCCAGATGGCCCATTGCCAATCGCAGAACACCTATTTTCCAGAAGGCAAACTGAAGAGAAAACTCTCCACCCTTGGTTCTTGCTCTTCAGGATACTTGTTGCCATTACAGCTTATTTTGGCTGTGTTGAGAGGCAGATGTACATAAGTAGTTCCAAAGAAAACATTGGCTATTGTTTTTATTTCCCTCAAATGCCTCTGAGAGCCTATTTGGATCCAAACATATTCATCAAAATCACAGTGCCCTTTAAAAGGTTAATTATTTTTTAATTAAAGTCAGGGACGTATGAAGCCAAGGAAGCTATCCACAGTCTATTGGCCCTTACCGATACCATGTTGCCTAAGATGCTGAGATATTTATCAATGCAAATTTAAGCTTGCTTTGAGCATCTTTTAATTTAATTTTTTTCACATTGATTATTGGCCACATGTTTATATGGAATAAGTCTGGTGGCTGAAGGAAAGCTTTTTTCCTGGATATTTAATGCATACATGTCTTTGTAGGCAATTGTGAGGTCAGGAGCTAAATTGACTGCATTACCCATGGTTTGGCACACATCGTGTGTGTGTGCTCAGAAGGACTTTGAATTTCTGCCAAGCTATGCAGCACATCCTAAATTCAATGCCTTCAGAAGTCATTCATATATCACGATATTAGAATGTCTCCCATGATGTCATCCCCCAAAAATGATATCCCAAGGAACTAGCGGAGAGGCTTTGGTCAGTCACATTAATCTCGGTGTTCTAAAAGAAGATGATTATTTCTCTGACCTCCGACCTTTTCAGTGATTTCTGTTAACACACTTAATGCTGTTTACAAAGGCAAGTAAAGTATAGTGACACAAAGCATATTGCCTTTAACAGCAACAACAACAAATAGAGCAAGGAGTTGTCCATTCCAGGCAATGGTTATTTTATGTGCTTGTTACTTTTGTTTCTTGGAAAGAAACTCTTTTTTTATTTTCTTCTCCTTCATTTTCCATGTATGGCTAACAAAAACAATACTGGTCACTTTCTGCATGTGTATATACAAACACACACAAAAAGAAAAAGACTCTGATTACCCCAAGGAAAATGTTAATGTGGGTCATTTTTTGATAAGGATAACAATTAACTAGGCAGACTCTTGGTTGTATTCAGAGCTTGGTTTGGAATGGATTCCATTTTGAGAGGTTAATGAGAAGGTTACTAATTCTTTATGTCTTATGTCTAATGGTCCTTTTATAAAGCAATACAAAGGAATTATTATTTCCAAGTGGTGTAACTTGAAGGCCTTCAAAATTAGATTGAGGAAAATGCAGGAAAATGGTTAAGTATCTCAACAGATTATATCTCTTTTACTTCTTCTGATTGTTCTTATCATTTTTATTATTCATTTTATTTTATAAAGATTTATGCATGCCACTCTTTGCGTGCATGTTTTCAAAATGTTATTTGGCCAGTTTGAAATGATATAAGACATGTATTTGCATTTTGCAAGTCAGGCAAAGCATAGTAATGTTATCAGTATATGGAGAGCAGAAAATATATAGTTATGAATCCTCAAGCAGAGATGGGGTTGGAATGAATGTGATAAAATTAATAGTATTAGCATTTAAGCATCATAATTTTTTTCCCTGCTGCATTGTGGAGAATGCAAATGATGTTCTTCCTTGAGTGTTATGTCAGAACATGGAAGATGACTTTTTTCCATGTGAAATTGCATATACTCATCAAAGAAGACAGGTTTTTTAGAAGTTCTCAAATCTCCAGGCTGATTATTAAGCGTGGGAGAGATTTAAACACAGGTTGTGAAGAAAATATTTTAAATGGCAATAACTGAAAGACAACCAGGGCATAAGTAGACTAGGAAATGTATAACCTTGAATGTGTATTCAACAGTAATCTTTTTTTTTTAAGTATTACTGTTTTCCAGAGAGATTTATAAATAGAAGAACAGAGGAGTTAATACAAAAGGTGCAGCACATCTGATTCTATATATCCAAATACTTTTTATCTAAGTTGGATCATTCAACCCTCCATCTCTTATCCATACTACTAAGCTTGTGAAGTTTTTAAACTATAATTTTTATTCTACATCATTAACCTCCATATACTTTGATGTTAAATGACATTGTAGGAGGACAGCTTTGTTAGTGTACGATAACCAAAAATGAGGAAGAGTCTGGGTGTATCTTTTCAGATTAACCCATTTTATTGGAAAAAAAATAAGCTTTTTGTGAGCTACCTCGATTGCCTGTACATTTTCACCCACACCACCAGGTCTCAATAAGTTCACATACAGATTTAGATGCACCTTCACATAATCTTCCCCAAAACTGATATATGCCATCATCTGCCATCAATGCCTCACTGGATTCTACATAGAAAAAAGAGGCAAAACAGGCTTAGAAAAAAATTAATGGACATAAGTTGGACATTATCATTCAAAACAAGGATAAAGTAATACTAGAACATTTCTACCTCTTAGGACACTCCATTACAAATGTCAAAGTAACTACTTTTGTGGAGTTGTTTGTGTGTATATGTGTGTGTTTACCAACACAATTTAGTAAGACATTAATGAATTTACATTCTTCCAAAAATTCCATTCTTAGAATGTGTCAACGAGCACAATGGATTTATAATACATTACATTTCTCCATTGATAAAATACTTATAGTCTGTCTTACAAGACTCTATATAACCTTCTTGCCTTCTGTCTTTCCCTCCCTTCCCCCTCTCCCCCCATGCTTCACCCCTATTTAAAATCCAATATCAGTTTATCTTGCCCATGCTTTTGATGATGTGAATTGGAACTTACAACAATCTATGCTTTTAAATAAAATATATTGGTATGCAAAGTTGTTATATTAGACTCCTGATATTTTATGAATAACCCTGAAAACAATACTATTAATGATAGTAGAAGATCAATATTTCTCTTCTCTCCTGACAAACTAAACCTAAACTGGGACTGGTCTTCTGTCATTGACCTTATGTGAAACATTCAGTGTTTCATCTCAGAAGAACACAGGAAACATTATCTAATGTTCTTTCTGAACTTTACCCCTTTTAAAGCAACACAGTGAATGGCTGCCACTGGAAAGCATTGCTTCATAAAACATTTCTTTATGTACTTTATTACCTAACTCTTTTTATTTGCCTGCAGGAGCCCTTTAACAAAATCACATTGAATTGACTTTCTCACACCAAATCAAATCTCCCTGGTCCCAGTACAGTTGTCTTTGTCAATATGTATTTTATAAATGGAGTGAATTAACAGATGCGCTTGGAAAAGAACTGCTGGGGTAGCGTTTATGTTTTTACTGCTCTCTCTGGGCAAAATGAGTTGTGTGGGAGTGTAATACAGGTACCTTGGGATCAAAGACGTGTTCTTCATTTCATTGCGTGTTTACATAGATTAAATGCACAGACTCTGTACAAGCATGGATTTAAAAGTTTTGCTTTTTATTTTTTGCCCAGCTTTTATATATATTAATATATGAAATGTAACAATATTATATTATTATGTGTATCCTGCCTGAAGTAGCCAACTAAAAACAATAAGGCTGTAATTTATGCATGCTCACTAGGATTAAGCCCCATTGAACTCTGTAGGCCTCACAGCTCATTAGGCCTGAATATGATTGGGCAGCAAATGTTTTAATTCCCCTAATGTCACTGAACTGCAGCATCCCACACCATTTTCCATTTTGGTTGGAGGTTGTCATTAGTGACACCTCAAAGGTCATTACTATCCTGATTACATTATTTATTTTAAAAATATGACTGTTTAGAT